TCATTCATTATTAAATAATATTAATGAGAAACGTGAAATAGATTTAAAAAGATCAATAAAAAAGAAAGTTTTAGCAAGAAGAAAAAAGTTGTAGTTTAGAATTATAAAAGTTCGAAAAAAAAATCAAAGCTGGTAACATGGCAAATATGAAAACAAGAAAATGAAAAAAACGAAAAAATTTGGAGAAAAAGTGAATTTTCTCCAATTTTTCGTAATCTTCGTCAATGAATAGCTTTCGTAATCCTTATCAATTAATAAAATATCTTCTCCGTCCTCGCCAAAATTTGGTCAATTTCTGTGCATAAAAGTTCTTCTTCCATTTCCATTGCTAATGGAAGAACTTTTTGCACAAGGATATTTTGCACAAGGATGTGCACTTTGCGGATAAACTTTTGTTGGAAATGTAAAATGCATCTTTTAATTTCAATTTTGGTCTTTAAGAATAAATCGTCAGACGAATTATTTATGATTGCAAACTCAAAAAACTGATTTAAGTAATGCATCATCACTCACCAGACATTTGGTAAAAAGATTTTTCCAGTTAAGGCTAATAAAAAATCTTTCACACTAAAATTTAAGTCGCCGTATCTGCAGACTAAAACATTAGAGTTGTCAGTTGATAAGTTATTTTTAAAAATTCCAAGCAGCATTTTTGCTTGAAAAATAGGGGAAGCAGATGAAAATAATGCGCTAGCATAACTTTTAGCCATGAAAACAAATATAACCAAATCAAAACTTCAAATTTTTCAATAAAAACTTATTACACAGTGACTAAAATGTTTCAGTATGTGTTTTTTTCCGTCAGGGTCACGTTATACGTCACACTATATGTTCATGCATTTTAGAAAAACACGTTAAGACAGAAATAGGCCTATAATTTCAGCCTTAAAAAACTTCCTATTGTAAGTCGCACTTTGCAGGGAATGAGAAAGCTTATTGATTCCTCGCTACTAAAAGTAGCAATTTGATCTGTTGAAAAATAAGCTCTGCAGTGTTAACTGCAACCAATCAAATACCTGTGCAGCTTCTGCTGCAGGTATTTGATTGGTTGCAAATGTACGCCGTTGTATCACGATTTAAGTTTTTTCAATAAACTATTGTTTAACCATGATAAGTAGAGTACAATTTTTAAATTTTAACTTTTTTAACGCTTTTTCAATTTTAACTTCTAAGCTAGGGTTAGAAATTTGATTAAAAATGTTCTGAAAAGATTTAAAACAACAGCAGTGTTTTACCAATTTGAAGCAAATATAGCGTAATCAAGAGGTGATAAATATTTCTAATTATTATAAAACATTGTTCTATAATTTTTCCTTGTTATCAACTTACTTTTTGTTTGAGGTATTAAAAATCTAAATGTAAATTAGATAAATTTATTAATTTATATATTTAATAGTCGCTCAAAAAAAGTGTATTAATGCGTACACAGTAAAATATGTCACACCGAGTTTTCTATTAAAACTGTCATGCCACAAAGCCCAATTAAACACGCGACATATAGTTCTAAATATTGCGTGAAGAATAATTTCGTAAATGATCCAACAAGTTATTGCTCGAAGTATCGAAGTGGTAGAAAACCTATAACCACAGCTCGCCAGCAGCGACGATTTGTGCGTGTCAATATTAACCGTACAACCTCCGCGAGACAGATAGGCGCTGATATGAAATTGAAATGCTCAAGATGGACGGTGAATCGTGAAATTAACAAGTCAGGCGTTATTAGGTATGCAAAAAAAAAAAACACATCTCCAGCATTGGCTGAAGCCCACAAAGGCATTTTTTTTAATGGGCCGAGAACCATATGACTTGGTGGGGAAAAGAATGGCAAAAAGCCGTAAGGTTAAATGAAAAAAAATTCAATCTTGATGGCCCAGATGGCTTTATTTACTATTAGCATAATATTACAAAAAAAAGAATAATTGCAAAAAGATGGGCTATGGAAGGCGAAAGAGTAATGATTTGGGGTGCGTTTGGTTATTTTGGAAAAACTTCGATTTGCTTTGTTACTACTAAATTAAATGCTGAAGGATATAGAAGTTTGTTGAATGATTATTTGAATGAAATTTCGCAAAAATTTGGTAACACCAATTTTATTTTGTCAAATGTTTCATGGTTTACGAGCAAGAAAGTTCAATTATTAGAAGAGTCAGCACTCTCACCTGATTTAAATCCCATTGAAAGCGTACGGGGCATCTTAGCAATACGTGTTTATGCAGAAAGGAAACAATATTCGAATGCCTATGATTTGAAAAAGGCAATTGAACTTGTTTGGAAAAACATATCTTTTGCAGACCTTAGAAAACATTCGGAAAGTATGCCAAACTGAATATTTGAAGTTATTCAGAATGGCGGCAATAAAATATAGTATTAACAATAACGTCAAATTGCAATACAAAACATTATGAAATTTTGTAGAGTAAAATTGAAAAGAGCAGAGCCATCCATAGAGTGGCGCGAGTGGAGCAGCCACTCCAGGCCTCGTGGTTAGAAAGGCCTCGCGCAGCGAGGCCATCTTAAACACGAGCAATCAAAATGTTTACTTATTGTTAACGAGAGTAAGACTTCGCGCAGCAATGCCTTACTCTTGTAAAAAAGTTTTGGTTAAATAAAAATAATATAACAATAATATGCGTGCCAAATATATCTAATAAATCAGGCAAAAATTTCATTTTATTTTTCAAAACTAAAAAAGATGAAAAAACATAATATTTAAAAAGAAGAAACGAGAACGAATTAAATGAAACAATTTAAAATAAAATTCAAAAGTAACATAAAATTAATTTAATAAAAAAGTTAAATAAAAAAAAGGTAAGAAATGAATAGGCTGCACACCGAATCTTAGTTTGAAGGAGTAATTATAACTGGTCATGCTATTTTTAAAAATTAATATGAATTCAACTTCTTTAAAGAGTGAAGATGAAAAAGTAAAGCATCGAAGAACATTTCCTTGGATTCTTAGACGTTAAATCAACAACGGGTGAAAAAATTAAACGGTTGTTCTATTTCAAGAGTTAGATGAAATTGAAATAAAAATCAGGGACTGAAGGGGACAATGATGCGACAACGGTTCCAATATAAAAAGTATCCACTTTTGAGTACAAGCACGGATCTTAGAAATAAATCCAAAAACTTTTTAAATGCCCTGCAATAGCCATAGCCTCAACTTCCTAATTTAGGACGCAGCAAAATGATTATCTAAATCTATGACGTTTTTGGGTGTTTTGCAAAGAATTTATGTACTTTTTTCTTCGGCAAAAATGCAATGGCAAATTTTCATTCAACACGTACTAAATCTGGCTGTAAAAAGATCTTGTGACACTCCTTGGGAAAATAAACTTGAAAGCGTAAAAGCGCTTCAATATCAAACTAAAGAAGTTCATACTGCATTAGTTGAACTAGTTGAGTTTACTGAGGATCCAAAATAAAAAGCCAATAGTGAAACACAATCAGTTAAGAATGAAATAAGTGATGAAAAAAAGCATACAGACTCAAAAAAATGCACCTTGGAGTTGCGTCGCTGTTACTTCAAAGACTAGTTCAGTTTTTTTCAAAAATTTAGATTTAGGTTTTGAGGCGGCAACATTGTTAGCAAGAGAACTTAGTAAAACTCTTAATGTAGAGCCAAATTTTAAAGAAGCCAGGCAGAGAAAGAAAAAAAAGTTGTTTGAGTACAAGGGAGATTCTATGGCAGGATTCGCCGAGCAAATGTTTGAAAAGGAGTTTGAAAAGTTTTTTGTTAATGCAGAAGGCTTGAAAAAATAACTAATTACGATATTATGTTTGGATTTTTGTATAATGTAAAAAAACTAAAATTAGTAAAAAAAAAAAAAAAAATTGTTTAAAAGGTGTAAAGACCTAAAATCGTTCCTAAGTTTTGAAAAAAAAAAAAAAGAATGTTTGTGGATATGACCTTTTTTCTGAACTTAAGGTTCTTTGAGAACTTCTACCAGCAGAGGTGGAAACAGCTGCAAGGATTTTGAGATTTATTCATCAAATTCAAAATCCATTTCCGAATGCATTTATAACGTATAGAATTTTACTGACTATACCTGTAACTGTGGCAAGTGCAAAAGGAGTTTTTCACGCTTGAAACTTATCAAGATATAATTAAGTTCGTTCATGGGTCGGAAAAGGCTATCAATTGTGACATTTAAATTCTCATCGTTTTGACGCAATTTCAAAAATTATCTAACCCTACACAATCGTTTTTACAGTATTAATAACACTTTATTATTTTATAACAAATATTTGCCAGTACTCCATTATAAAATATTTGTCTTTTGTTTTACAGTTATTATGTAACATCTACATATATCTGAACACCCTTCATATCGATTGCTGATAACATAATATGTACAGACAAGATTACTATTTTGTAAAAATATGTTATATCATTTATAATTAATTATTCAATAATAACAAAAAAAGGAAAAATTTATTTGATATTCTATCTTTTTCTAAGTTTTTTTTCGTCAAAGCGCCTAAAATGATGACTTTCAAGAAGGTCTCGCAAAAATGTTTTGCTCCAGGCAGTGCATTTTCTAAGGACGGCTCTGGAAATGAGGTTAAAATTTTTGCACCATATATATATATATATATATATATATAATATATATATATATATATATATATATATATATATATATATATATATATATATATATATATATATATATATATATATATATATATATATATATATGTGCAACTTTTTATGGTACTAATAGTTTCACGCTTAAAGGCAACCATCGGCCAAGTAATACAAAATTAAGAAATAAAAAAACCGTTAAAATATAAAGTTACAATGAAGCGTTGCCGTCATCATTGAGCACTCTTATAACGTTCAAGAGTTTATGTACTTTATTTACAAATACAAAATATCATTTTATAGTATATATATATATATATATATATATATATATATATATATATATATATATATATATATATATATATATTAATACAAACACATTTCTTTTATTAACTTTTTTTTAATTTAGAAAATGTGTCATCAACCGTTGTCAGACGTATTGAGGGCATCAACTCAGCAAATAATTTACAATCAGATCCACCAATATACGAAGAGTCGTTCATCAATGCAGCTGTTTGTTTTTCATCTCAAGATGAAATATTTGTGTAATAGTAGGAAAAATATGAAGAAATCTTTTAAATGTCATTTTCTTATTTTACAATAAAAAATACTTTAAATTCAATAAATATGGCTGCGTATAAACTTTATATATTTATACGTATATATAGTTGCTTGGCAACTGACAAGGAGGCTCCTGGAAAAAATATTTGTAAAGCACTAAACTTTTTTTAAATTGCACATAAAAATAAATAAATTTTGAAAAATTTTGTTTTAAAAGTCTTTTATAAAACATAGCAACATAATACAGTTGTCACACGGGAAGTGTTGATTTTTAAACCACTATCCAATTAGAAAAACATTCCCAAAGGAACTTTTTCTTCAGCTAATTTATTGATACATTATTTTTTATCTACAAAACCAGCTATGAATTTTTTTTTGTTCGAAAATTTTATTTTCTATTGATAGTAAAGCCAATCCAGATAAATAACACTAGCAGTTGCTAATTCTGGCATCGAACCAATTAGTTTCCATCTGATTAGATGTTGCAAAATGTTTCGAACGGTCTTAACTTTCCACAGACCCTCGTAAAAATTTTGTTGATATAAGCAAATTTCTTGGGCGAGATTTTAATAAAACTAGGGAATTGTTTTTAATTTGTAATTGGAACTATATTGAATCATATAAAAATCCTGCAGATATAATATCTCGAGGATCATCACTTAAAAAATTAAATAATAATAAACTATGTTTGGACCCAATTTTTTAAACGGTAATAATATTAAATGGCCATATTATGAGCTTGTTAATCATTCGAATGAAACCCTGGAAGTTTTACGTAATGTGGTACATGTTAAGTTTAATGTTAATCTTGGCTTTATTGACATTGATAAATTTAGTGATTTTACTTTGAGTAACGTCCTAGATTCTTCGATTTATCAATAATGCTAATGATAAAAAGAAGAACATTTTTATGACCGGCCCAATAACAGCCGAAGAAATAGATAAATCGAAGTGATTGTGGATTAAATTTTCACAGATAAATTTAATCGTTGAAAATAATTTCAAACAATTACGTAAAGATCAACGTTTATTCGTTGACAACGGAATATTTCGATATTATGGCAGAATTGAAAATGCTGATTAGAATACGGCAATAAATTTCCTATATTTATTTTAATAATTTTTATTTTGCTAAATTATTAATTTTACATTTTCATAAGCTTGTCAAGCATAATGGTGTGACAAAAAGCAATTAATGCTTTAAGATCCCAGTATTGGATACGGTGTTATAGGCGAATAGCAAAGAGCGTGATACGAGTATTTACAACTCGTCAACGTATAGAGGTTAAACCTCATTCTTATCCGCCTGCTCCTCCTTTACCAGAAAGTTGTTAAAACTATAATTTTGCTTTCAAGTGTATTGCTTTGGATTATGCTGGTCCAATGTATATCAAAGATGTTTATGATGAAAGTACTTTTTTTATATATATATAATTTAGGTGCCCCAAGAAACCCTAAAGGTCTTGTCACAGAGCACCGCGGAAGTGGAAGTTCACGCCTCCTTTCTTACCGTGACGCAAAATATGTCCAAAGCTCGTTTCGAACCTGAATCTCCTGCTTATAAAACAAGCACTCTAACCACTGCGCCACGGCCGCACAATAAATAAAATATAGATTTTTTTTATTCATGTGTTGCAGTAGTTGTTCGATTTTATTAGACTTAGTAGCTGACTGTTTATCTATATTGTGTGTTATGGGTATCCGTCAATTTATTGGAAGACGGGATGCTCCAGAAATTATGTATTCCGCCAATGGATCTCAATTTGTTTCATTTGAAACTCAATCATTAGCTGCAAACCATTCTATTAAATGGAAATTTAATGTGTCTTTAGACCCTTGGTGGGGAGGGATGTTCCAGCGACTAGTACAAATGGCAAAAAGATGTTAAAAAAAGCTATAATGACCTCAAAATTTTCTTATCAAGAAATACAAACATTGCTTTCTGAAACTAAAATGGTATTAGACAACCAACCATTAACGTATTTGTATAACAATCAAGATGATGAAGCACTCACACCCAATCACCTTTTTTTTTTCTGGGCATAAACTAAGGTTTAAGACAAGTTTTAGTGCTTGTGATGAGATGGAAAAAGATGTGCATATACAAAACAATACGTTAGCTAATATGTTAAATTATTTATGAAGCAGATTCAAGAGTGATTACTTGACTGAATTGCGTAAATACCATAAATCAAATAGAAGTAGTTGTTGCAATGATATTAATGTTAAGTACTTTATATTCATTGAAAGCGATAACTGCAAAAGACAATTATGGAAGTTAACACGCGTTGAAGAATTGATATATTCTAACGATAGAGTTGTTCTCATTGCTAAAGTTCGTTACATACAAGAAAGTGGTAAATTCCATTTAGTTACTTGACCCATTAATAAAAAATATCCTACTGAATATTCTGACAAAGGAAAAAAAGTAACTTTAACCTTCGTTAACAAAAAAAATATTCCCTTACTGGTGGCAGAAGTGTTGAAGTCTATTCTGCCTCACGCAAATAAAAAAGAGCGGAGAAAATAGAATTACTTGTATTTGTACCTTTGTGATTTTTTGAATAGCCCTAAAAAATTTTGTTACAACAGCTGAAAGATAATCTTCAGAATATGAACATACCTTATAGTCATTTAAATTCCTTTGGGGTACTTGTTGCACTTACACTCTTTAATAAATCAGCAATAGCTCCACAAAATAAATATTTTACTATGTAAACTTTAAAATGAAAATTTTATTTTATGGCAATATCCTTAAAACAACCTTTTTATTCCTGTTCCTTTCAAAAGCTTTCAGATTTTAGGCTGTTTAACTCAAAAGAGACAAGCAAGAGTTTCTATGAACTGTGCTTTAAACTGCACTAGAGAAATGGGTGAAAGTTATTTAAATGAACTTAGCCGAAGAACTTAAAATTACAAGTATAATAAAGAATAGTGAAAATACTTCAGAAGGAGTGTGGTACGGTATAATAGATACTAAACGCATATTTAATCATAAAGAAACTCCACAGTTTGTAAACTTTGGAATTGACGGGAGTACAAGTGGATTGGTGTTTGCTGGAAAGAGTGACAGTCGCTATCAAATGATCCGCGAGAACAGATATTGTATTACTTACTAATCACCCACTTGTGTCATGTGCTGGGGATGTAGTTGTTTGCTATGTAATATTATGAGGAAAAGGAATAACCAGCAAAATGGCACCAAAACACTGTGGAAAAGATTCCAAATTTATATATATCAACTACATATATACTTGTATATATGAGAACATGGAGTACAAGCTCACAATTTTTTACTCGATTTATAAATATTATTTGATAGCAAGTTAATAGAAAAAATGTAGAGAGACCTGTGGTGGTACTAACAGATGGTCACTCTTCAAGGTTTGACGTAAGCGCCCTTCATTCTTGTCGTGAAAAACAAGTTCGCCTTTATGTTGGTCCGCACACACAACAAGTGTAACACAAATGTTGGATCAAGTAAATCATATTTTACACCACCATTATTGTCAATGTAAATCTAAAATGTTATCTAATATGATGGCTATTAATTGTTCTGGGTTTATGGAAATATTTAAAGAGATATAGTCATCATGGACAACAAAAGAATCTTTAATCAAAGCAGCTAAAGTGCTTAATATTGCAGAGTCAGGTCTAAATGTATATTGGATGCAAAATGATAAATTTGAATAAGCAGTAAGATGTATAGCAACTATTCAGTCTTCTCAGACCCCAAAGCGATGCTTTGTACAAAAAGTCCTAATTTTTCATCCTCACATTTTTCCATCCTCACCTCTATGTTAGAACTGGTTCTCGTAAATATTAGAAAAGAAAAATTGAAAACGCATATAGAGTTATCCATGATCTTATTGAATCTCCATTACTTCTTGGAGATGTTCCGGATTTGCTTCCATATTCAAAGGTAACCTAAAAGACACCTCTAAAAAAAACCATAACTCAACAACATGGATCAATGGAGGGAAAAAAGTCTTAGAAGTGGTAGCTGAAAAAGAAAACAAGGAAAAAAAAAAAGACGAGAAGAAGCATGTGAATAAAAATAATTGTGCAATAATAAAAGAACAATTTATATAATGCAAAGTCAAAGCTTATGATGTTTTAAAGTCAGTTTGTAGCAAGCAATCCTGCAAAGTTGACAGTATTAAATTAAAAATGATAGAAGTCTTAGAATCGACCTTCAATTCTTGACATTTTAATGAACATTTTATTTCTTTTTCTGATTAATGTTGTGTTTTATTTGTTAATTCAAAATTTGTTTGTTATTTGATAAATAAGTTGTAAAATTTAAATTGACAATGAAGATAGTATTTTAAAGGTTTTAGAAAACCGGTGTGCACCTTTAAAACTGGTGTGCACCTTGAAAACCGGTGTGCACCTTAAAAACCGGTGTGCACCTTTAAAACCGGTGTGCACCTTAAAATGTAGGTCTAGTGTTTTCAATGATAACTAGAGTAGTAATAGGATTTAAATTTAAGCTGTAACTATAGTAACTGTATTCCTTGTACTATTGATCATTTCCATATATAGTCTTTATAACTTAGGTCTTTGTTTTAAATCTGAATTTTATATTTTAAGTCAAAATATGTGTTTTAATTTTTAGAAAAATACAGAATATCATAAGTTGTCAGAGCATACTTAACATTAAATGGACTTAGCGCTTTAAAATATATTCTGTTATGCCTTGTTTACTTCCTTGTATAATTAAACGTTTTCCAACTGATTTGAAAATGTAAGAGACCAAAATTCAATTACCAATATTTTAAGGTACGCCAACTTTAAAGGTACAAATACCTGAGCCTAAGTTTTATTTTTTGTTCTAATTTAACAAAAATGACAGTAAAACAATCATTAAACTTTATTCATCAATCAACTTAATAAGAAATAAAAAACTTTGTTTCTTATTATCTTCAATTATAATTTAAAAATTTGTAAATTATTATGTTTAATTAATTACAAATAGAAAAAAAATTAAAAGTATTCAATTTGTGGAGAAACCAGAAT